AAAATCTACAAAAATACCAGCCTCATCTAAAAACACAACCGCTCAACACACAACAGCAACTAACACTAATACCAGTCAGACGGTCAGAGAGCGGAGATGGTTTCCTTTTTTATGTAATAATTGAAGCGTTGTTGACGTTACCGAACTTAAAAAAAGCCGTTTTAAGAGTCAGAGCTCAAAATTGATCCTTTCCCTCTGGAATTAACTGCCCATTATGTCTCGAAAACATATAAATCCTAACATTTCCATTTTTAAATTTGTAATTTTCAAGCAAGTTTAAAGCATAATAGTACGAAAAAAAAAACCTGAGGCATAGATATGCCACTCTTTAACATGGCAGGCGGCTAGCTTTACTACCACAAATAGTAAAGTTGGATCACAAGATATAATATTGTCGATTAGTACGCTAAATAATGAAGAGAAACAGCAGGATGCAGTGAGGTTCAGAGACACCATAAAAGTATATACAGTGCACACGATCACCACACCAAAACATCCCAACTCCAATTCGTCACCTCACCACCAACAAAAAAACACCAGAGAAGGTTGCGCTTGTCATTGTGTATTTAGCAAGAAATAATACGCTATCGTATAAGTTAAGCTACCTTAGCATTGTTTTCAATCGAGATTAAACAACCAGAGAGAAACACACACACACCACAACACAAACACCACTAACACCCATAGACTACATTCCAAATGGATTCCATTCTTAACATTGACCTAACCCCTATGATACTAACAGGAGAACATGAGTCAGGAGAGGGGCGAGAGAGAGAGAGGAATAAAGATTGTCAATCGTATATTTTCCTGTTTATTTATTCAGAAGTTAACAGTTAACTTTTGAAATAATGTAGTTCTGACTACTATTTAGTCATTTTGTAAATGTTTTTTAAATCAATGTTGCTTATTGAGATATGAATAAGAAAGTGCATGATATCACTACTGAAATTTAAATTGTACAATTATAATATGAACTTTTTTTAAATAATATAATGATGATGAATAACACTAAGAAGCAATTTAACCATTAAGGAGTTTTTAAAATCATCCCTACATTGAGTTTAAATAAGGAATTATGAAGAGGA